ACTTAGCTAATACCGGACGGACGCTTTTCGTTGATTACTGCCATCAGTTTATCTCTTGTTTTGCGTTTAGGATATGGTTTACCGGTTCTTTCTTGCATTGTCATAATGATTTAACTGTCTTAAGTGGCTGCGAATTTTACTTATGAGGGTACCGGGTTGGCAGTTTTCTGATTACTGCACCCGACTGGTAGAAAAGAGCCCGAAAAACACTTGCATAATATCGGGGCATTTGTAGTGCCATGAGTTCATATCCCTGTATGTATTTCCAGCGGACAAGTATTTGTAACAATATTTGCATTTCTAACAGGTATTTGTAGTGCCATGAGTTCGTATCCCTGTATGTATTTCCAGTGGACAAGTATTTGTAACGATATTTGCATTTCTAACAGGTATTTGTATGTCAGGAGTTCGTATCCCTGTATGTATTCCCAGCGGACAAGTATTTGTAACAATATTTGTATTTCTAACAAGTATTTGTAGTGCCATGAGTTCGTAGCCTGTATGTATTTTCAACGGACAAGTATTTGTAACAGTATTTCTAACAGGTATTTGCAGTGCCATGAGTTCGTATCTCTGTATGTATTTCCAGCGGACAAGTATTTGTAACAATATTTGCATTTCTAACAGGTATTTGTAGTGCCATGAGTTCGTATCCCTGTATGTATTTCCAGCGGACAAGTATTTGTAACAATATTTGCATTTCTAACAAGTATTTGTAGTGCCATGAGTTCGTACCCTGTATGCATTTTCAACGGAAAAGTATTTGTAACAGTATTTCTAACAGGTATTTGCATTGTCATGAGTTCGTATCCCTGTATGTATTTCCAGCGGATAAGTATTTGTAACAATATTTGCATTTCTAACAGGTATTTGTAGTGCCATGAGTTCGTATCCCTGTATGTATTTCCAGTGGACAAGTATTTGTAACAATATTTGTATTTCTAACAGGTATTTGTAGTGCCATGAGTTCGTATCCCTGTATGTATTTCCAGCGGACAGCCCTGGGGGCTACGTTATACTTTACACTTAACCATCTCCTGGCCAGTTTGTATTGACATAGACAATAGATAGTGGTAATTATTTTGACCTTTTTCTTCTTAAAACATCTCTTTAAATAGTTTGTTCAATGCATATAAGAAACAGAATAGTATACTATTAAATATTTTAGATGCATTTTAAATATATACATTTGCAAATGCTCTCCTATGTGGTGAGAAATATTTTTATCGAATCGTTTCGTCAATTATTTTGAGTTTTTATTCACAGTGGAAGTTATATAGTAATTTGGCATTATCTATTAGTATTTGTTTGATATCAATAGTTATATCATGATCGATATGAAAACACACGGCGTTAAGTTTCAATAAATGAAAAGTTAATCTACGAGAGTGTGTAGCGTTTGTGTGACCAACGTAAACATTTAATGTTGATTTTTCCAAAGAGTACAACATTGTACTTACACTGAACTGTAGCGTTTCAAAAATGCCTGGATTAAACTGATAAAAATGATTTTATAGGACACTGACAACATTAGAGAGAGAGAGAAAACATAGAAATCAATATGTCATGGTGACCTTAAATTTCACGTCTTTATCAATCTCTGTATCCTATATTACTTCTCTTTGCGCGGGCTCTATATATAGGCGACTACGTGCTTATAATAAGCGTGGAGGGGATCGTGGGGACCACAAAAATATTCCGAAACACTGAATAATTAAATTTTAAAAATCTTCTCTCTCTCTCTCTCTCTCTCACACACACACACACATATATATATATATATTGTATAAAACTTTTCATATTTATAGGGGAAGAGTGTTCATTATCAGATATAGACAGTTTACAGATATAGACAGTGACGACACAGCAATACACAGTGCATACAGTTTCATATTTAAGTGGTCTGAGATCGCACTGAAGCGTGGAACTGACAGTAACTCTGCAATGTCTGTCTGTCTGTCTGTCTGTCTCTCTCTCTCTCTCTCTCTCTCTCTCTCTATATATATATATATATATATATATATATATATATATATATATTTGGTTGTGTGTAAGGTATATTTGGACAGTAAAAATTAATTTAAATAATTTTTATTAAATTCAACGTCTTTTATTTTTTTTATGTATTTTTCAATATTTTTTACACTTTTCTTTGGGATCGCTTGGATTCGATTCAATCCAAAGCGACGTGATTTTTAACTGTTATATAGTTCTAGATTATATATATATATATATATATATATATATATATATAAGAGACAGAGAGAGAGAGAGTCTTCTACAGACAAACTGTTTCGCTGTATCACAGCTTCTCAGTGTGGTTAGACGTTCGATTGCTTCAAACCAGGATCAATATATATTTCTTAACGTTCAGGTGTACACTGATCGACCACTACTAATAGTTTCATGCATTTGAACGTAATCATTTTGGGAATTGGACATTTTATGCCCTCACTTCTAGCACAAGATGTTACACCGAGGGTAGACGATGTGTACTTAATATTCATTAAACTCACCGACTGCCTGATGATTGCTGCATGAAACTATTAGTAGTGTTCGGTCATTGTACACCGGAAAGTTTATAAGAAAATTATATTAATGTTCTGACATTAAATATGACATAGAGCTCTTTTTCTCCAGTACGCCTTTGTAGCATATTCTCTTTGGAGTTGCTTACTTTGTATATTACTTATACGATGTCTTATCAAAGAGTATCGGGACTGTTGCTATGATAATGCAGCTAAAGTACGCACAGTGATGCCGCTCGGCACAGCTTGACCTTGGACTCTGTGACATATACACACAAACTTATAACCTTCTCGCTCACTTCCGTTGTTTATAACAGTGTTTGGAAGGAAAGTGTGTAGAGTGTGGTCGCCTCATCACACCACAGAGATTCCATCATTGACCATGGCTTGTGCAGCAGTTTTTGGCTAACTTAAACATTCCCTATGTTCGACAATCACCATATTCTACAGATCTCGTTTCAAGACGTCGAAGAATTCCAAGATAACGAAGCAGCTGCTCGTTATGCCAAAAATGGTATTCCAAGAATGCTTCCATCAATGGAAACGATGCTGGATAAAGTGTGTAGCTTCAGAAGAGGATTGCATCGGAGGAGATGAAATACTGAATTAATGTGTTGTAGTTTTCTTCTTTATAGCACGAGTCCCAAAATCTTTTGATCATAGCTCGTACATATATGAACGAGATAATTTTTTACATATCAATAACAATATTGGGGGAAAATGTATGACAAAGTGGGAAAAAGATTTCCTTTGACGCGTTCCGATGAAGTCTTAAAGGACGAAACCCGTCAAAAAAAAAAATTTTCCACTTTGTCATGCATTTCCCCCCATATATATATATATATATATATATATATATATATATATATATATATATATTTTTGAACAATAAAAAAATATTAAAAATTAAAATCTTTAGACACACTGGGTTGTAGATTAATATTTTTTCGTTTTTTTTTTATTATTATTTCATATAGATTCCTCGACTAGTTTCGACCAAAATTGCCATCATCGGGAGGAGAAAAGAATCTTTTGCTGGAGAAAATGAACTTTTGTCTGTAGTTTTCATTTGTTTTTTTTATTCTTTTTTTTCTTTTTAACATGAATCTTTTAACAATCCTTGTGTTGGTCAAACAGTCACTTTTAAGTTGTTATTTGAGATAAGAGCTGGATAGATACATGCTGCTCTGAATTCTCTGGTCAGTTTGACAGGTTTATTGGACCTGGTGAGGGATGTGTCTGTTTAGTGTTTGTGTATATATATATATATATATATATATATATATATATATATATATATATATATATTTGTGCATTTTGGCAGCAATCCTTCTTTCATGAACATTTCATTGAATACGACAGACAAGGTGATTTGATTTAGTTTTTTTTCTACAATTACACATGTGTTCTAATAATTTTTTCTTTTCAAATGATAAAGTATATAAAAATTGTCTGAATGTTCTTTTTACCAAGCGTTTTATTTAGCCATTTTCAAGGATGAAATATTTTAACAATTAAATAAGAAATAGTTTGCTGCATGTATATATTTATATGCTTTTATTTTTTTTCAAAACACGGTCAAGGTATTGATACATCCTATATATATAAATATATACACACACACACAAACACACACACACACACACACACACACACACACACACACACACACACACACACACACACATATATATATATATATATATATATATAGAGTGTATGAAAATACTTTTACAAACTTTGGAGGCAGGTTGCTTACAACAAAACAAAGACAACAGTTCATATAAACATATGTCCGTAAATCCTTCGTTTTTGACTTATTAAGTTTGAAGTTTATGGTAGACGCTGTTAAATGTAAAATCTAAGATAAATCCAAAAATAATTTACAAAATTTTTGGGCAGGTTCCTGACACCAAAACAACCTCAAATGTCCATCGGTCTGGAAACACAATCTGATAGAGCCGTGCAACCTCATGTCCATTACCATTCGCGCAGCCGTACGTAAAAATCATATCTACCTGGTCACGATATGAATATCCTGCCATTGTTAAACGGAACACTTCTCAGCTATCTCGCCACTACACACGTTAAGCGACAGACTTTCCACAAATGTACACGAATTACAAATGTAACCTCGTCTACATGAAAGGCAACACAGTGTCGTCTGCCATAAACTTTCTTTAAACTTAACTCAAAAACCGAAGGATTTGCGGACACATGTTTATATGGTTTTTGTCCTTGTTTTAGTATGAGGAACTTGCCCCGAATCTTTTAAAAATTTTGATATTTTCTCTCTCTCTCTCTCTCTCTCTCTCTCTCTCTCTATATATATATATATATATATATATATATATATATATATATATATATATATTACAAGTAAGTAGTAAGATTAATTTTGAGACATTGAAGTTCATTAAGAAAAAAAAAAGAAAATATATTGAAAAAGAAGGAAATATATTGACAGAATCAACAATTTATGTGTTACTCAACTATTGGCTTCCTCTAATGACATTTTTCCTGCTAATTTTTATTTGTATATAACCCCGACCACCACTACCACTCTATCGGGGCATTTTGTGAGACGGTTCAAGGATAAGCGATATCAAACAATGCACTATTAAAAGACATGGAGAAAGGAATTGCTTTTTTCATGGATAAGCTCTTCACTGAGCATGCTACACACACATATAAATGTATGTATGTACGTATTTATGTGTTCGTATTTCACATAAAAACGAATTTTTTCCATTTTAGCTCGAGAATAACCAGATAAATTCGGTTGACATTTGAACATAGCGCGTTGCTGTCTGCTGAGTAAGGAAAATGTAATGACATACCGCTTTCTTTGCAATTTGGATCACAAAAAGAAACACTCTCACGTATTTCTTCACAGACACACGTACATATATGTGTATATGTATTTAAATATGCATAAATCCAGACACGTGCTTGTATACAAAACTTGTATAATAGTCATGAGTGTATGCTTACTTGCAGACAACGAAAATAATTCTTCGTATGTTCAGGCACTGTCAAGGTTGAGTAAGGCAGGTAACAGCTTTTTGCTGACATTGCCTACGTAGATCGAGTAATTATAGGAGATATCAAACAGGCAGAACTTATCGGGTGAATTTAACCAAATTTGTGTCATTGTGTTCTTGCAGTCTATCTATCTATCTATCTATCTATCTATCTATCTATCCGAAAGTTGTTCATATTTATCTATATATCTATCTATCTCCATGTGTTCATATCTATGTCTATTTCTCTCTCTGTCGTAGATTGTTCATATCTATCTATCTATCTATCTATCTATCTATCTATCTATCTATCTTTTTAATTTGTTTAGATATTTCGTTTAGCCAATTTTATTTAGTTTCTTTAAATTTATATTTTTATCGTTTTTATTATGAAATATCCCATATTGTGATAATAGATCTCCCATATCTGTCTATATTTCTGAGATGAGATACATATGGCACAGTCGTTAAAGGCGATGGTTAGATCCAGTGACAGGACCCAAAGAGTTGTGAGTTCAATACCTGGTTAAGGCAGTGGAAAACTTGGAGAGGTGAATTAACAGGAGATAACTGACATCAATTAGACGTGGAACTAGAACAGTCTACCCCAGTGAGCGAAATAAAGGGTTCAGTTCGACGTTCCAACCACCTGAAGAAGGCCGGAGCGTACAACGGCCGAAACGTTGTGATAAATATGGCAACAAAGATGAGGACAATTGTCCGAATAATTTAAATAGTGTAGATCTCCCATATATGCAAATGTTTTCTTCAAATTATTTGATTTGATTTTTTTTAATTTTCTGTCTTTCGAAATTAAGAATTTGAACGATATAAATTATAATTAATTAATTATAATATTATAAGCAACAATAATAAAATTAAAAAAAATGTCTTAACACACAATTTTAAATCAACACCACGAGAACGCGAATTTAATAACGCACTCAGGGTCGATAAGTTTGTACCTGAAGATTGCGGGTTTACATGAAACTCCGTGTCGTGCTATCGACGTAGGATATTATGAATATTCAAAAATTATTACTTAATAGCTCTGTTATATAACATTGAGTACTGTTTTTATAGCACCTGAGACAAATATATATCTTCGTGCAAGTACATGTGCGTATAAGTATGTTTTTTTTTTACTTATTATAAAACTCAGGTTGTGTGTGTGTGTGTCTGTTCGTTTATATATTGGATCGGATTTCCTACACTTTTCAACCGATTTCAACAAAACTTCACAGGACTACGTAAAATTACCTTGCGCTGGTTCTGAAAGCACCAAAAATTGGAAAAACACAATTGTTTTTGCACGAAATCAATTTGAAAACACGATTAAGAGGCATCGTGAGAATGAAAGGGGGACAACTCATATCGAGTTATACTTATTATAAAACCCAGGTTGTTTGTGTGAGTGTTCGTTTATATATGAGATTGGATTTCCTACATTTTTCAACCAATTTCAACAAAACTTCATTTTTTTTTTTTGACAGGTAGTGTTTCTTATTGTCTTGCACATTTTTTTCTTTATTTTTACATGCAGAATGATTTAAAAATTCCATTTACAGGACAATTGTTTATAATAAAATTCTATTCAATCGGTAGACTCATAACGATTGAAAACAATGTTTTTGTTTGAGTTTTGGTTTGACCAATTCGTAAAAAAAAAAAAACTAATTAAGACATGCGTGTCCGTCAACCTTAAACAATAATCTTTGTCAATTTTATTTTTCAGTCTTTATGATGATCGATACTTGATCTACCTCTTACTGTTACATACCCGGGCAATGCCGGGCTCTACTGCTAGTATATATATATATATGTGTGTTTCGACTACCTTATATATATATATATATATATATGGCGGCAGTCGACACGTTATTTTTTGCTTATTTATAATTTTGTGCCTAGAAATGTTGTTAAGAATACAACGAAACGTTGTTCGGCAGTCACGGATCTGACTTGTCTACAAAGATGACTTTCAGTCCTGAGAGCTAGATTTATATATACATTGACAGATAGAACAGAAAGCTTTACGCAAAAATCATAGGGCATGGTGTAGATGTCTAAATGAAAAAAAAAAACAAAAAAAAAAAAACGCCTGTCCATATGATTTATCGTGCGTAACGATAGTGCTACATTTTAGACATCTTTTGGATAAATTCTAGTTGTTCAGGAGGCAAAACATGGTTAGGACATACTGTCACTAAAAATGATCATTTATATAATGAGTGTGACATGCGTGGTCGCACGTGAGTAATGTTAATGGTAATATTAGCCGTTTCCTTATAAGGAAACATTCGACATTTATTGAATAAGTAGCCTAGTTATGCTTTTCTTCACTCCCTAGCTATTGGATTGAGATCAAAGTGTAGTATCTATTCTCCTCATTTCTAACGGTAATGGTAATATTAGCCATTTTCTTACCAGGAAATATTTACCATTCATTGACAGAGCAACAAAAATCAATGATACAAACAAAATTTTCTGTATTTATTCATTAATGAATATTTTTTTTTACTGAAAATGATTTTGTTTTTAATTCATCAATGAATGACTTTTTTTTTACTGAATTTTATTTTTGCAGGGTATATTTATTACGTATATATTTCCCGCTTTTCGATATCTCGTGTGTACTTTTTAATTTGGAAGATGTTCGTCCATTTTATTTTTACAGTTTTCTAAAGAAAAATCCCTGAAAATATTATTTCAGTAAACAATTTATGCAATATCAAATGTTGAGCATAAAGAAATTTCGACCCGGATCTTACCGAAAATAATTCAATGAAACTAAAAATAATTTTTTTAGAGAATGATTATATTATTCGTTTCTATATAAGGAAACATTCAGCATTCATTGACCGAGCGGCCAATGCTACTTGAGTTACTTTTTTCTTAGCTCCCTAGCCATCAATGTAGTATCTGTCTTCAGACGGATACATTACATTTTATCTCTCAATTGTGTTTTTGTCTTCGGGCAGAGCACAACTGAAAAAAAAAATTGAGAGGTACCCATGGCAGTACCTCTTTTATTGCACTAAAGAGTGGGGAAGGGGGGTCGGCTGGGCTATTTTTTAAACCTGGCTCGGACTCCCCACATTAAACTGACTTTGCGTCATATCCTACCAATGTTGGTTGGTTGATTTTCTTTTCTATGGTTTATTTAATGCCTGAATATAAATATTTTTTACCAATTTTATGCCTTCAACTACAGATATTTTGTACACAATTTATACTTTCAAAATAAAGTCTTTTAGATATATGTTTCGCAGATCATAAAATATATTGTTGGTAATTTTATTATCATTGATAGTAAAATCTGTTGATTTTTGTTTGTCCATAGCTGGGACCTTGGCAGGTGCTACCACCCCGGGTCAGGGTGAACCTGGGAACAACGGCAGTTAAAAGGTGGTTCCACGTTGCTCAAAACCTCCAATCTCCTGATCAGAAGCCTTGCTACCGTATGTAGTTTATCGTCATACCTAGGAAGATCCTGCCAGCGAGGGACGGCAAGTAAATATTAAGTGTAGTGTATGCTCTCCTCATCTCTGATTAATATTCGCGAGAACCTAGTCTTTATAGTCGGTTCGAATTTATAAAATCTTTTTATTAAAATAATTTTTCAGGAAAACACGTTTTTCAAGTCTAGTAACTGTTACCGCTCTTTCCATTATTGATGGTGGCTCGAAGTAGTTTTTTGTTGTTGCTGCTGTTGAGAGATCGCAAATGATGTGGTTTCTGTTATTTCTTACACCTCTTTGTAATTCTGTGGCGCCAGTCTTCGAGGTTCGAAGAAGGGTGTTTCTTATTAAGACTTACAGGTTCCATCCACTCGAAACCATTTTTAATCATTTGTCCACGAAATTGGTTGTATGCAGTTTGAACATTTTTGAAAGTGACACCATGCATGACATCCATATGACAGTCACGATCTGGCAAGGTTATTTAAGAATATAATTCAAGTTTTTAAGTTATTGTTTTTTATGGTGGGGGGGGGACTTGTCCCGGGTTTACACGCTCTGGCTCCTCACATTAAATTAACCTTGCGTCACATCCTGCCAGCTTGGACGGCAAATAAATATTAAGTGAAGTGTCTGCTTTCCTCATCTCCAATGGTAATATTCACCGTTTTATAGACAGAAATATTCGGCATTCATTTAGCGAGAATCCAGTCCTTCTAGTCGGTTTAAATTTATAAAATTTTTCTATTAAAACAATTTTTCAGGAAAATACGTTTCCAGTAACTGTTATCGCTCTTTCCAGTATTGATGAGGGTTTCCTTTTGATGGAAGTAGTGTTAAACGCCATCATCTTGATTCTGTCTTTATTACGAGTGTTATTGACTTTAACTGATGTGATGTCTTTGATTGGTAAACTTCTTTGCTTGTGATTCTGTAGCTCCAGTTTACGAGGTTCGAAGAAAACAGGACCTCACTAAGACCTGCAGATTTAAGAAAAAGGTAAGGGTATCGAGTTAAGCGGTAAAGTAGCATAGCGTAGTTCAGTAGTTCTTATCCACTGCTAACCTGAACAACGCTTCCCTGCTGTCTTCGAAATATTCACTGCTAACCTCTGGATTCTATACTCAAAGACGACCGTCATCATGAACAACAAATTTAACATAGGATATAAGGAAACTGAATATAGAATAGGCTGAGCTAGAGGTAGTTAAGCGGATTGTAAGAAAAAAATGCCCTAAGCAGCAAAACTATTCGAGGCTGTCCTGGAGTAGCAAGGTGCCACAGAAGTTTGACGTACGATTTCATTTTTATGTCGTTTTTCTCCGCTCTTTGGATTGTCATAGCTGGAAACCCTCTCTCACATGCCAAACGTCTTATGGATTGAGCTAGATCTTTTCTAATTGATCTCTTTAGATTTAAGTTGAAATGATCTCTCTTCCAGTTGTAACCTCCTGATCCAGTTTTACTCTTTACTGTTCCCTCTTTTTAAAACTTATTCACAGTTCTCTCAATGGTTTTTGAATGGATTCTGAAGATGGAAGCCAGAGTATGAATGTTGCTATCATTACTGAAGGCCTGAATAATCTTTTTCTTCTCATCATTCCTCAGTTGGGAAGACAGTGGAGCTGACACAAAACGATTTTAAACTGTTCTCTTTCTAACTGAATAACTCAAAGGGTTTTTCAGTGATTCTTACGACAACTGGTATCAAGATGGCTAAACATCTCATCTTAAAACCTGGATATTATTGTTTTTTTTTTTTTAGATATTAAAATATTTTGTGGGGTGGACAATTATATTGCTGTTACACGATTTGACACTTGGTATATATATATATATATATATATATATATATATAC